CAAACACCCAAGCCTGGGCAGAGCCTCGGTTACTCCAGGGATGCTCCAGGTCCTGGGCTGGCTGCAGGTTAAAGCATTTCTAGTCAGACCATGTCTCAGTTAGGGCCTGCATGTTTACATAGCACTTAGCACAAGAGGAAGCCTGGCTCAGGGCTGGCATGCAAAGATGCCTCAGATCACTGCAAGTCCCACTTCTGTTTAGCTAAGGAGGTACCATGCTATTGCCTTCAGTTCAGAAGGTCTCAAGTGTTTACAGCCAATATCTGCTGCAGAAATAAATGTTTCTGTCCTGCTGGACAGTGTGGGACAGCCATGCTCACACCCCAAAGCTGCCTCCCAGAACATCTTCAGGCAGGACAGAAGAGGCAATTGCAGGGCTGATTTCTCAGAAGGTGGTTGTTCTTAACTGTCTCTCATTTTAAGATGGAATAGTGTCTGCACCTATGCAGAAAGCTGTAATTCGAGGTTGGTTGTTTTCTTGGAAGGCTCTTACAAGGCACCCTGGAAAGCAGTTATTTGCCCCATTAATTGATCAAGTGTCAAAGTTAGTCTGTGGGAACCTGCAACTACCAGCTGTCCGGTATACTGCTTAGCTGGCTGCATGCTGTCTTAACAGCTATCTCCAAGCAGAATAAAACATCCCAACAACCCTAAAGCAGGAGCAAAGGAGGCAGAAAACAGGGCCCCTTTATACAGCTTGCTTTGCTCAGAGAGCTGCATCACATTCCTCCCAGCACAGCATAGGAATGGAAGAGCATCCCCAAAACTCAATCCTTTCCACATCTTGTCTCTGAGCAGACAGAGACCACACACCAAGAAGTGGAGAATGGGAAACAGTCCCAAGAGGAGCAACTGCAGGACACAGAGGTGCAGCAGCCAGGGAAGGGGATCCAGTTTCTGCCCTTCAGACTAGCGAGGACAGAGGACCATGTCACATGAGATGCCACCAGAACACAGCCAGAGCAGGACCCACTGTCAGCATCCAAGCTGCATTTACCTAACTTTATCCTTCAGCCCTGCATTGTCAGGGAGGATCAGCACTCATTTGGCCACAGAAACACCTCCCTATATCCCAGGGAAATCCTTAGCATCTTTCAAAAGAAAGGTGGCAACTCCTGCACACATCAGCCTAGTTTCCCAGCAACGTTCTAGGTCAGTGCTTAATCAGGTTACCCCAGGGACTCCAGCAACCTTGTGGAAGCCCTTCCACAGCCTCACACCCCTAATGATCTGGATGGGGCTTTGCGAGCCAGGAGCTCCCACAGCTGCCCTGCTTTCCACAAGCTCCTTCACCTCCAGAGCCTGCACCTCTAGAGAGGAGCGCTGCTTGCCACCTTAGCTCACTGCGCAGGGTGCATAGACAGATTACCTTCCTTATGGGTAAGGGGTGCTCAGAATGCTGAGCACACCCCTATCTCTAAATAATTTGGTTTTTAATTTTAACTCAGGTAGAAGCTTTGTAGAAAGATGAAGCTTGCTGTGGAGTTTCTAGTACCAGGCCAGCACCTGATACCACACCTGCATCTCCATTGGCACCACCCACCTGCACCTACAACACCTGCTAGAGCAGTGAGGAGCAGCCTCAGGGAAGCAGAGTGCAAGCACTGGTCTGCAGAGGCAGCAGCCAGTTAGTGCTCAGGAAGGCAGGGTCAAGGGGCAGCTCCCCATTACTGCATCACTTAGCTCATTACAGGATTGCAGCGTAAAAGCTTCCATTATCAGCCAACAAATCAATCTAGGCAGTGCCATTCACTGGAGTTTACCAAATATTGCATCTTTCCATCTCTCCCAGACTAAACCATTACACTGCTTCTTCACAATCTTCCAAGATGGGAGAAGAAAAAAAAAAAAAAAACGCTTCTTCGCAATCTTCCAAGATGGGATTAAAAAAGAAAAAGAACCACCCTCCCCTCCCTTGCACACAGGCCAAAGTTTTCCAGGAGTCACTACTGGCTTAACAGACCCCTCTGGATGCCCTGAACGTGATTTGGAGCACCCAACACTCCAAGCAAAGTCAATGAGAGTTGCAGGTGCTCAGTGCTGTGGGCCAGGAAGATGGAACACCCTAACTCATCCAGCACAGAGCAGCCAAATCCAGAGGCTCATAATTACAGGTCCCTTCTGAAGATACATCTGTGAAAACCACTAAGAGTTGCAAGGAGAGGGAAAAAAAAGCCCAACACATTCAGATCTATCTAGTTTCAAATCAGAGTTTCACAAGACATTCAAATACAGAGTCTTAAAAACAAAGCAGCGAACTAGAGCCTTTGAGTCAGCCCAAGCCTCAGACACAGGCACCAAGAACATTTTTGCATCAAGACCTTCATAAGATCCTTTGGAAAGGCACAGAAATAAAGATCCAGACTGCAAGAGGAAAGGGCATTCTTTCCTCAGGCTGCATTTTGACTACATGCTCAGGTAAAGATAAGTTTAAGGGGAAGAAATGAAGGGGAGAATAAGAGACGGGTTTTTAAACACAGCTACCCTCCAGGACTGGAGAAGAGGCTGTATAAATGTAAGTCAGAGAGGGGCAGTCATTTAACTGCAATGCTATATGAAGTGCAAGAAGGGGAGGAAAAAATAAAAATGCTGCTAGTCTCCAACAGGCTTGAACAATAAAAAAGTTAAGCTGCTACAGTCTCATGCAACACAAAATAAAGGAAGGTTTAACAGGAAAGTCCTCTCTAGTCATGCAGTACATAGAAAACTGGGCATCTTACCTGATTTCCTCTTCGAAGATCCATAATCCCTGAAAAAAAGACAACAACAAATAGACATGGTTAGAGCTGGAAGTGCTGCCGAGAGGGTGGCTGTGCCCCAGACTTCCACCCATGTGCTCAGGGGCTCATGCTGTGTCCTGCTCCCTCCTTTAAAGAGGAGCCGGGGGCTGTGAGGCATTGACGGGCAGGGGCCGGGACGGATCCGCAGCGGCTCCGGCTCGTCAGCGGCGGCAGCTGGGGCTGCTGCGGCACCGGGGGCTCGGCGAGCATGTGATCAGCTCGGCAGAGCAAACCATCCACCAGCAGCCGGGCAGGGGAGAAGGGTGTCATTTTTTCCCCTTTACATCCGCTATTAAACGCACAGCGCCCAAATTAACCCCCGAGGGTGCCCTGCCGAGGACGGAGAGCGCTGGCTGCTCGCTGAGGGCTGCGCACGCCGCGCGCTGCCCACTCGGCAACCAGCCCTTGGCTTGCAGAGGGCAAGTAATTCTGGCATAACCTCCGGACCCTCTGCTGTCAAGCACTTGTCCTCCGCAAGGAAAAAAACCCCAAACTTAATCCTTTCTTCTTGGGTCCGGGATGGGCAATGCACCTGTCTTTTTTCAGAATGATTCAAAGGGTGATGGCACTTCACTTGTGACAGAGCTGCCAAAAGCCTCAAAAGCTGCTGCAGACCCAGGGCTGTGAGAACCGGCTCGGGAGCAGCAGAACCACGGCCAAAAGCGCTTCCCTGCGGCCGTGCCTTCCCCCAGCCCCGCTGCCGAGAGCAGCCGGCACTGCCAGAGCCAGCGCAGCCGGAGGCAGCGGAGCCGGCGGCTGCGCGGGCACAGGGACCGCTGCACGGCCACGCGCCCCGCGCTGCCTTCGTACCGCGTCCTGCTGCCGCAGCCTCTCTGTCTGCAGGGCCAGGCTGCCCGGAGAAGAAGGGAACCCCCAGTTATCCCAGTAATTTAATGCCAAGGAAATTCGGGGGAAGCACTGCAGCAGAGGTATGTCCATGAATACATGTGGTTCCTGGCAGCACCCTGCGTGCACGCTGTGCCTCACACGCTTCGGATTCGCTTCCAGGGAGGAGTAACTGCCTGGGAGTTCTTTGCACTCTCTTCAACATTTCCAGTGCTATTCCTATTTCAATTAAACGCCTGTTTTCCCAGCTATGTCTGCAGTTGTATTTGATGGGAAGATACTGCTCATGAATAGGCTGCTTCTTATGCAGAAATGATTTCACAGGCAAGCAATAATGCCAACTATATCGTGACCAACACAGAGACCTCCTCAAGAGCTGGCCAGGGAAGGCCCTGCAAAACACAGTCCTGGGCCCTGGTCCACGCCAGCCTCGGGCTTGCAATATGTGCTTATCCCTTGCCTGCTTGCAAACGCAGTTCTGATGGTTCGGTATGGTTAAAGAGCAAGCAAAAATGAAACAAGATGTTGCTGGATGTCCCTCAGCCCACCAGGTCAAAGCTGCTACTCTAGTTTGGAAACATCACTGGAAGAAAACGATCTGGCTCTGCCCATGTGGCAAAGGCCACAACACGCGCAGATCCAACCCTCCTTCCTGCAGCCTCTCCTGTGCTTTTCAATCCAACCTCTCTGGCTGCTCGTCAGGGCTGCTGTGACAGACTGCAGTACAGTTTGAAACGAGGCTGGTTCTCTAATTCTGAAGGATGACTCATTCGTGCAATTTAAAGAAATCAAAGATTTTTTAAAAAAGAGCAAAAATTAGAAACTCTTTCTCTCTCTCTCCATGCAAATCACGGGCTGACAATGGATATTCCCGCATAAAGAATTTTCCCCATTTGCTGCATTTCTGCTCAGCTCCTCAGTAAAGGCACATCATTCATGGAAGCGCTCCTGCCATTACCCTGACTCGCGCAAGCCGCGCACGTCCGCGTCCTGCATGACGCTGCCAACGCCAGCACGGAGCAGCGCCGGCCGCGGCGCCAGCAGCCGCCTCTCCGGGCAAGGACGGGCACGGAGCCAGCACAGGCAGCCACCGCCGCGGGGCTGGCGCTCCGGTCCCACAAGTCCTGTCCTTGCTCGTCTCGGCACTCGTGCACCCCGAAACGGGGCATTCGGATTTGTCTGAAAAGTCTCTTACGGACTGGGGCATGGGCCAGTGATTTAGGGTGAGTTGTATGGGAGAACGTAAAGAGGATGGGGCCAAAGTCTTCTCAGGGGTGGCCAGTGACAGGACAAGGGGTAATGGGTGCAAGCTGAAACACAGGAAGCTCCATCTCCATGTGAGGAAGAACTTCTTTCCTGTGAGGGTGACAGAGCACTGGAACAGGCTGCCCAGAGAGGCTGTGGAGTCTCCTTCTCTGGAGATCTTCAAAACCCACCTGGATGCCACCCTGTGCCATGTGCGGGATTTCCAGAAGCCCCTGCACCCCATGTCCTCCTGTCTTGCAGGCTTTCCGTACACTCACAACACACTCATAAAACCCCACAGCCAAATAAAATAAAACGGAGCTTGAAATAAACCCAGTGAAACTCTGAAAGCCAAAACTTGTTCTTCCAAGCTGAAATTGGGAGGAAAAAACAAAACGCACAACTGAAATAGAAAGCAGAGGAGATGCAGCAAAGAGCCTCTCCGGCTGGGCTAAGCGCTCCCGGAGCGCACTCGCTTCTCCTGCCGCCCGCCAGGCAAAGCGGCAGCGAGGAGCCACGGCTGCCTCCGAGTTTATTTTTAAAATTTTTAAAATCCTGCTCGGGCTGTGATTCACTCGTGTCTTTCCTCTCCCCCAAGAGATGGTCTAGATGGTGGATACCTCTTAGCCTCACTGCAGGAACATTATAGTGTGAGCCTGAAACATCGGATCATGTCCAAGACAATAAAGGAAATTCTTTAAAGGTTTCTCTTCAACTGTAGCAACCTCCAGGTGGCAACTCTGATCTTCTCTTGCAACATGGATTCCAGCTACCAGCTGCCCGCTCTTAAACCAGACAATAATTGGCCTTGCAGAAGAAAAACACTTTTGTGGAAAGATTTGCTCTTGAACGTTTTATCTTTATGCACACATACATTTCCACTGTGATTTTTTTTCTCTTCTATCTGAGAACAGTACTGCCATCCCCGTCTCACTTTCAATTATACCTACGGAGCAGCAGCGAAAGCAGCAGGTAGAACTAGGAATAGTGCTGGCAGATCCTTTCTTCATTAGCCAGCATCACTCCGAGCTTGAGCAAACCCCTTTCACAGAAAGAGCCGGTTTCCAGCGTTATTCTCACTGGAATATAACAATTTTGTCTGAAGTCTCCCTGTGGGGCAGCACCTTTCATGGACACCGAAGCTCATTACTGGCATGACAGGAATTTCCTGCTGCTAATGATATTAAGATATTGCTGGTGCCCAGCATGTCCCACACTGTGCACACACTCTCCTGCTTCAATGACGGAGGAGAGGGGAACGGACCCTCCTTTCCCACCTGCTTTACAGCAGGGTAACACTAGTGATTTGACTTACACCTGTGAATGTGAAAGGAAGGCCACGAGCCTCGGTATAAAACTGATTGCACTGCTGATTGCATTACGCTACTCACAGCCAATCATTTTGTGAAATATATTAATCACTGAATTTATATGTCCCTCGCAATCCGATATAATCTCCAAGGTTATACTAACAACGTTACTGAAATGTTTTTTGGCATGTCCTTCCTTAGGGACTGACTTTGATGCTATACTCAATGGAAGCTATTGAAAGGTGTGTGTGTGTCTGTATTTTAATCTATCTAAACATACATAGATGTATACAAATGAGCAGTGGCACAAATGGAAAGCTGCTTAACGAATAAGGAGTATCCTGACATTTCTTCAATAAAAGCCTAAATAATGTTCCAAGCCAGACAGATGACTGGGAGCGAGTAGATGTTTCTGTAATGGCCTGTGCGTATCTTTTCAGCCATAAGTCTCATGCAGTTTGATTTGTACTTGGCCTGGCAGGTTTTTCCTGCATCCCCTATGGAAATCCAGCAGATAAGCAGACGCCTTGCATGGGAAGCAGGGAAGGACGCGGAGCAGCCCCCTCTGCAATGAAGGAGGGGGCTGCAGAGGGGCAGGCTCAGGGAGGAGACGTCCCAGCTCACGGGGGAGTGGGGCCACAGACACTGCACCAGGCAGAACCCAAAGGAAAATAAACCATCTTTCTGCCCATTTCCCGGTGTTTGACATCCAAAGGAGATGAGACAGAGAAAGACCCAGAGTAATGGAAGTTAATCTCTATCCTCTAGAGCATTTAAATGCATAAATTAAAAGTGTTCCTTATTTGTTGCCTTTTGCTAATTCTTGTTTAAATACATTGTAAGCATCTATGTTCCCATGCTCCTTAATTTCTAAGAGTCTTTAGGGCTGTGGGGAGCCTGCAGTGGAGCCCTATGACATTTCAAACAAACAATTCAGATTATCATCTAATTACCAACGATTCTCCAGCCAGATAAAAACACAGAAATGTTCTAACAAGGAGGTCTGCTCCACCCTCTCCATCATTCAGATGGTTTGCAGTCAGGACTAATGAAGACTTTCTCCAAAACTGTTTTTCTTAACACTACTATGTTTCTGAGTAGGATTCTGAGACAGTGTTTTTAAAGTAAAATAATATGAAAATACATTACTACTGCCCTTTTCCTTAGCCTTGAGAAAATACTTGCAACTTGAAATTGTCCTGATTTTACGCACTGGCCAGACTGACCTTTCCTATGTGGCTCTGGAGATAGAAAGGACAAAATCAAGAGCAAATAAGAATCACCTTTAGGTGCCTGCTTGATGAGCACCCCAATGTTAATGCTATATAAACACACAGGAGCTGTAGGGTTACATAGTGCAAAGCGGAAATTCATATCCATATGCTCCAAGTGCACGAGTTGACTCATCCGCGCTAAGGGATCTCCATTCCCTCCGATCCATGGGACGGGGATGAGTCCCAAGTTACATTATCCCTGCCCCGTTCGGCTCAGGAACACCCTCCAACACGCCGACGCACGCAGCGCTCCCCCCAACACACCATCCTCTGGAGCCATAAAAGCACAGCTGA